TTGATGTAGACATTTGGATTTTGAGGAATCTAGACTATCATTAAATAGTCGTTAGGATTATGAAACTAGACTAAGACTTAGTGCTTTATACATTTAGGTCTTTGAGAAGTGTTAAGGCGAAGTGCTGCCCTAACCCCGAGTCACCTACTTTTGTCAGGTGAGTGCATAGTTAATTTCAACTTACACATAAATACAAGTATTCTAATTGCTTAAATGATATGTGTGTTGTCTTGTTGTGTTTAATATATATGCGCAACATGATATAGTTATTACTTGGTTTAACTATCTATAGTTTATCATACTTAATAATAATATTGGGTAGTAATGGGTCGTGTGAAATAATAAATGAGAGGCAGTGATCGATCCGTGTGAGATAGTGGCTGTGATAGGTTAGTAAGAAATGTGCAAAATAATAAGTCGTGTCTGTCGTGTCTATCCAAAGTACTATTGTACTGACATGCTTATCCAAAGTACTATCGTAATGTCGTGCCTTCCGTGTTTGTCTGAAGTACTAATGTACTGTCGTGCCTAATCATCTAAGAAATATAGGTGTTGGCTGATAAAGGTCCTTTAGGAAAGATCCTTCGAGATCATTATTTAAAGATTAGGAAGTGAGGATAACGGGAATGTGTAACTAGGTTATTTGTTTGCTGAAAAATATATAATTAAATATTATAATATTGTGGGTTGAAAAACCCTATGTACTCACCAGGTTTCCCAACCTGACTCACTTAGTTTATTTGTATCACAGATACTTGGATAATGATGTATGTGTCTGCTGAGAGATTCAAGAAGATGTAGACCATTAGTATATTGAGATATTGTAAGTATCCGTTTATGATTATGTTTCTTGTATCGGTTATGACATCCCATGGTTTTAAAATATAGAATCTTCTGAAATGCCTTGATTTTGATATTATATCATGTCAAGGATATTTTGGGACCAATTCTGCAATAACAAAAGTATTAAATAAGCGTAAACAAAAAGTTTTAAAATAGCCGTGAAAATGGGGATCTCACAACATTGCTTCCTCCTCTTTCCCCATATCCTCTGATATGTCTCTCCATCTCTCAATCAATATGTCATTGTTCTTTAATTTTGGATTGTTGATCTGATTCACCCTCTTGGTGTTCTTTAATTTTGGATTATTGCTCTTATCCAAGCCCTGCTCTACAATCGATTTTTATAAAGTTGGGCTCAATTCATCTTCATCATTTGAGTTTTTGAGTTGGTTTCTTGTGGAGTTGTTAGGTATAGGGTTTATAGATTGACTGATGGTTGTTTCAGATGCGTTGTTAACCGTTATAATATCACGAGTAATGATTGTAGGAAGTTGGATGATACTGCTCTTGATGCTATTGATCTTCCTTTTAAACCTGTTTGTGGGATCTGATGGAATAGTGAGGTTGGTTTCTATTTTTTTTTCTGAAATTGAAATCAGATTGGATGCAAAAATCGAAACTTCATCAGTTGCAAAAATTCGAACTTCATCCTTTCTTTGCTATTACATTATAGATTGATCAAAAACTTTATATGGTTCAATTATATAGTTCTTTTGTTTGAGATAATGACATTCTTTGTAGTTAATTCATGATAAACCAAAAACACAAGGTTCAAAGCCATTAGAAGGAAGTGAAAGGAAGGAATATGGAAGCATGATCTTTATGATGAAGCGAATAATAGTCTGAGTTTAAAGAATGAAGAGGACTTGATTAAAAAAGTTGAAGCCCTTCTTGTGTCATAGCCAAGTTTTTATTTTTTGTTTTTGTTCCATATGATTTCATGGGACATTATAGTTTTTTCTCGAATGTGAAGTGATGATCCTAGAATGGGTTAAAGTTGTAATTTGTGGGTGGTTTAGGATGAGATTCTATGTTTTTTATTGTATTCAAATGAGTATGCATTTAAGAATAATATCAAGTGGTTTTTGATTAAAGATTTGAAGTCATTAATGCTTTTGTTAAGTGTTGATACCAAAGGACATTTAGCCCAATGATATTAGGTGTTGTCTCCCTATTTGAGTTTGAAGGTTCAAGTCCCGTCTGAGACATAGGTGAATAATGAGTAGTTTAGGAGTAGATTATATTTGTTGTTCAATAAAGTGTTGTTTTGGATAAAATGTTTGGATATATTATTAGATTGATGAACAAAAACGAAGTACTTTCTTGTAGTGTTGTTTAAATATTGTTTGAGGGTAATATAATCATTTTGTACAGTTAGTCAGATCCAAAATTAAACAGTAAGTTTCAGTCAGAAGTTAACTCAATCAGAACTTCTAACACAGTCATCTCTAGTCCAACTAGCAACTATCAAACGACCCCTTAAATAGCTTGCAAAGTAGGAGAAATGACATTGCAAAAGGATTTGAAATACCCGATGTTGGTTGTCTAAGATAGCTACAATAGATAACTATAAGATGAATCAATTATTTAAATGAAAATTTCACTTTCTAGGACAAAAATCAAATATATTACCACCTTTGGCAAAGATATGTATAATCTAAAACAAAATTCGGTTTAAAATATATGTGTATTACTATTTAAGTATTTGATGTTTTAAAAAAGAAATGCCGCCATTATTTTCTTGATCATTTGAAACCTATTTTAAAAAAGAAAGAACTAAAGCAATAAATAACAAAAAGTAAAAGTAAAAAAGAACATTGGAATTTGAACCCACCCAAACTTCTCTATAATTCCTTCTATCTCTCGCGCATCTAAACTTTTCTTTTGCGTTTTTTGAGCCTCATCTTCCCCTTACTTTATTTAATTTATGGTGTTAGTTTGTTTTTTTAAGAAAAAATTCATAAAATCTGCAGACCACTTCTGCAACCCTCTGCAGTAGAAGAGGTGGACCAAACGGCTGCAGACTGTAATAAAAAGCGTGTTTGTTTTTTAACATCTGCATGCTGCTGCAGATATTAAAAATTAAAATAAACTGATTTTATAATCTGAAGACTTCTGAAAAATAAAGATATTTTAACATAAAATAACGATATTTCATCAACAAATTATTATTATTCAATATAAAAAAAATTCAACAATAATAAACAAAAAAAAACGAAAAAAAATGTGAAATAAGATTTCAGCAATATATAATCAATATTTTAGCAAGAAAAAAAGAAGAAGAAGAGGGTGGAAGAGGTAGGAAGAGGCAAAACAAGTGTTGCGCCAAAAAGAACACGCGCAGATGTTTTTTAATCCGAAGACTTCTGAAAAACAAAAAGCTGCGAGATGAAAAGTGTTGTGCGTGTGATGCGCCGCGCAACAATAAGAGGTCTGAAAAGGTTTTTTCCAAAAAACAAGCAGCACCTAAGTGATGATTTACTAGTATATGAGGTTTTAATCACATTCTCTTGAGAGTGAACCTTTTTTTTAATGTTCTTTTTTATATATTAAAAAATTCATATTTATTCAATTAGTTTTTAAATATTATATTTAATCATCATAAAATTTTAAAATATCTATTTAAATCCTTGTGTTTAATATTTTTAAATATTTTAAAATCATTTTAAATTTTTATTTTTATTAACCGACTATAATATTTTTCTTATAAATTAATTTTAAATTATTATATGTATTTTACTAAACTTTCAGAATATAATATTTATCAAAATTATCATTTTAATCAGTTTTAATAAATTAAAAACAATATACAACTAAATAATTTATTCATATTAAAGCAATCATGCACTCTCGTCATTTTTATTTTTATTGTTAAAACTTAAACGATGTAAAGATTAAAAAAAAAAAACAACTTGAGTAGAAATACCAAAAAAGACCTTTTAATGTGTGTAGGGATATGTTTCTTCATGTCTTTTGAATAATACTTTCCATTTCAATTGGTGTGGGTTTTTTTTTTTTTTTTTTTTGTTTACGAAGTCTAATTTGTTGACATAACATATTCTTTAAAATAACAAGTCGATATATTGTTTACATATCTTTCATAACTAAAATTCAATATAAAGTTTAATTATGTTTATTATATTTTCTAGGTTACAACCCGTGTAATACACGGGATAGTAATTAAATTAACATAGATAATATAAAAACAAAGTAAATAATTAAAATTTTGCAATTAGTTATTTTAATATAAAAAAATTAGAAACTTTCAAAAATAATCATCTACATTAAAAAAAATTCAAATATTTTCTTATTTTTATATAAAAAAAATGAAGTTTCAAAGTCTCAAAATTTGTAATCCTCCATTTCACGCATGAAATTTATTTTATTTGCAAAACTTTTGTTTTAATGAAAATCTCACAACCAAAAAATCTATTTTTTGTTAGATAAAAAACTTTGATATTTTTAGTAATATGTTTAGTAAGAACTCATGAGTACTGCATAGTAAAAGCAGTCCACAAAATCAAATAAAAAAATTGTTTCATGGTGAAATTACCCCCACCCTGCATAAACATGCATTTTATGTTGTATTACACCTTGTCATTGTCATGCACTTCATCAATCAAAATCTGGTCCTTGTTTTAAGACATTTTCAGTCTTTTCCTCCTAGGAAGTACAATTATATACATATACACAGACAAACACACATTATTTCTTACACTATAGTACTATACTTCAAGAAACAACTAAAGAAAACTACCAATGCTCATAAAAACAACCAAACTTAAATGAATAATAACTGAATAAACATAAATAAAAAAATGAAAGACAATCTCAATATGACATTCAATATTGATAAAGAAAAATTCTAACAAATCAAATGGAAAGACTGACACATAAGATGTAATTATATGATCCAATGAATAGATTAAAGTATATGATCCAATTAAGCTTATTAACACTTTTAACTTATCAGATGTAAAGATGTTAAATGAGAATCAAGACAGAGGGAAGACCATGTATTATAGTAGAGTGAAAAATATAAGTAAATCGAGAATGCATAGAATTGATCCATCAAACCGTTATATACTAAGCAAAGCATGATGGTTCTACCAAGATGATACCATTATGCATTTGGATTCAACTATTACATGTGTTTGACTACAACAAACTCTATTTGGCACTCATAAATCCTAATATACTCATTTGATCAACTAAAAACTGCAAACCAGAAGCATTAGTAAAAGCAGCAACCCAAAAGACCATTTTGCCCCCAAAGAATAAAACACCAATCGCATATAGTGATGGTACCATTGCCATTGAATCTCCACTTATGTGACTTTTCCCTGCACTCTGGAATTAATATTGATTGTCAAAACAATGGATTAAGTAACAGTGGCAATTATGGCATTAATGTAAATACGCATACAGAAGTAAAATATTTCAAACACATATGCAGAGTCGTCGTGGAAGAAGGGATGCTTTGTAGTTGATTCATCATTGGATTAAGTGATGGTCGTGATTTGGTTAGAGATATCGATTTCATATTTACAGATAATCGATTTCAATTTTAAGGAGAACAACAATTTCACAATGGGAGAAAAAAAAGTTTACCGTTTGGAGATGTCGTCAAAAATTGAAGATCGATATGGAAATCAGATAGGCGTTGGAGGAGGGCGACACAGTAGGAAGGCGGCGCCGGAGGAGAAATGCGCTGGAGCTGGAGGAGGGAGGCATTGTGTGATGTCTTGTCAAAAGGCGTTGCGTTTGGAAAGTGAAGAAAGAAGGAGCAGTGTAAGCAAAGGGTTAAGTAGGTCTAATTTCCCAGTCATGGATATTTTTTTGATGACTATCTTTAGATCCAACGACAAGAACCAAAAACCTTTTAAGCATGAGAATTTTGAGGGTTTGAAGGAGGAAAGTGGCTATGTATGGGGAAGAAAGGAAGATGGATACCTTAAATTGAGGGCATAAAATCTTGAAATTTGAATCCCTAAAAGGAATGACCGAGATTTAGGGGATGCGGGCGAAATTGGAGGAGAAACAATTGGATATTTTGAATTCCTGATTCCTGGTTTTCTGGGAATGAATGAACGAATGCATTAAAGGAGAGAGGGGCAAAATAGACACTTCACTTTGGAAAATTCTAGGTTTAGGAGATGACACATGGCAAAAAGTCTCTTTTATTAGATAGCTTATACTTATATTACCATTTTAAATATATATTTATATTATGATCAAAATTATATGAATCTTATTTCATGAACAATTTAATTGATGATAGAAGGTAAGCATAGACAACGAATCTTTTCCCCAAACAGTCTAAAAATCTAAACTTTGAAGTTTATTTTACCCAAAAACATGTTATTGGTGACATCAGTTAATTATACTCTTTAAAGAAATACTCTGTTCAATATAAATAGTTTTTCTATTTTGATAGTCATTATTAATAATAGTATATAGGTGGAGATTGTTAGGATCAAACCTAATGATTTGATAAGTCGATGAGATTATCAGCCAACTACAACAAAGTGAAGTTGATGGCATCAACGTGAAGATTTAAAGATCTGCAGCACGGCTTGGGAAACTGAAGACTCTTTGATCTTTAGGGATTGCATTGACGACTATATCTAGTATTTATGTAATGCTAGGGTGTTCATTCATTAGTCTTATGTAATCATTTATGTATAAATTTCTCTGTGAAAGTTATATTTTGATGGTGTGTTCTTAATCAGAGTTTGTTTCTGATTAACTCCCATTTTTATAAAAATGTTCATAAAGAAAGAATAAGAAATGAAAACTCACAAGTTTTAACCAAACACGTTTTCTAAATTTTCCGATGAAAACTAAAAATGAAACTCTACTCCTTTTTTTTTGAAAAATTTACAAGAAAACTAAAAAGAATTTACAAGAAAAATTGGTTGGCAACCAACAAATTAGGCATGTCAATCCGTGTCTGTGTGTCGTGTATAAGTGTCAGACTAGAAATTTACACGACACGAATTGTAAAACGTGTCTTGGGTATCAAACACGAACACGACACGTAATTAATCTGTGTGACACGTTACATGACACGAATAGACATGTTTTTAATCGTGTTACATGATAAACATGAATTTACACAAATTTAATTTATGTTTATACGTGTCACGTGTTGCGTGTCAACACGAATTAAATTCGTGTCTATACGTGTTTATATAGGTAAATTTGTGTTTGACACACGTAAGACACAACACGAATTTAAAATTTTGTGTTGACATAAATAGACACGAAACACAAATTTCTAAAACTCGTATACGGAAAACGCGTGTCGTGTATCAAATTGCCAAGTGTATACAAATACTAACATAACATGGACAACACGCGAAAAAACCATAATTGATAACTCAAACCGTCCTTTCCAAAGTTGGCCAAAAAAACAGTCCAAAACAACCCAACATAGAAAATTTTGTAAGCATCTTAACCAGCAATCCAATTTTAGTATGTAAATAATACTTAAATGCAAAAGTTCAAATTATCGGTAATTTTTTTGGGGAAAATTTTGTAAGCATCTTAACCAGCAATCCAATTTTAGTATGTAAATAATACTTAAATGCAAAAGTTCAAATTATCGGTAATTTTTTTGGGGAAAATTTTGTAAGCATCTTAACCAGCAATCCAATTTTAGTATGTAAATAATACTTAAATGCAAAAGTTCAAATTATCGGTAATTTTTTTGGGGAAAAAAAGTATTTGTAATGGTATGAGGTAAAAAGCTAAAAATGTAATAGCTTTTCTGAAAATTCGTCTATATAGTTTTGTTGATTTTTACAGATATGATCGCTGAAAAGTATTTTTAACTTTTTTCATCCTTACAAAATATTCTTTCTTTTTCACCGATTCAGTCCTTGAGGCGTTTAACTTAAAGCTTCATGCATTAACTTTTTTTTTTTTTTAAAAGGACCATTTTGCCCCTATCTCCTTCATCACCATATTCCAAGCATCAAAATTACGCTTAAATTGTATATCTACAAGACACGGTCACTTTAAAATACAAGCATCAAAATCAATGGAACAATATACTTGAAAATCCTTCAAGATATCTCAAAACTTTGGAATATTGAGCAGTTAAAATACATACAACTTTTACCCAATTTCTAGCATCTTTTTATGCAAACTTAATTCATATTTCAAAAGCCTATTTCTTTGTGTGTATCGGGTCCAAAAACATTCTATAACAACTGAATAGTTGTGCATATATATTTTTTCTACCATTAAAGATGTATAGGTATCCTCAAACCATCATGTGCAAGCTGAACTGGAATTCCTTCTCTGTAGCAAGCAACAAGTGAAGAATTACGGGTATGTTTGGTAATGATGGAATGGAATCACAAAGAATGGAATGAACAAAGTAAAGGTAATGGAATGGGTCATTACATTTAATTATCATGTTTGTTTGGTTTGAAAGAATGGAATGAGCCATTCAAACATGTTGTTTGTTAGAAAACATGCAAAATGCAAGAAACAGCAATGTAGTTTCTAATTTTTTCCTTAATATAGCATTGTACTTTCTTTTTTATTTATTACAGCATTGAACTTTCAAATTATTCCTTGTTAGAACATTGTACTTTAAAAAAATTACTCATTATAGCAATGAGATTTAAAAGATGATATGACATGGCACAGGTTAACATGTGTATGTGTGAAGTCATTGTCCACATAGGACAAACACATGTAATATACTGCTGACATGGCAACAATAATAATATGAAGATTTTGAAAAACGTACAAAAATTAAACTTCAATCAAATAAACTAATAAAGATATACCGCTGAATAAATTACATGTAAACATATGTGATTTCGTCTGAAATATGTTTATCTATCACTCCAAACAAATTATTTACAAAAATAAAAAAAATTAGATACCATGAAATCTTAGAATAGAATTATAATCAAAAAATACTTTTAGTTATTTGTGGAATATAACAAAAAAATTGTTGTTACTGAAGTTAACAAAGATAAAAGTAATTTATAATTATAACATATCATTTCACTTCATCAAAGAATGAAAAAAATACCCCTTCAAGGCTTCCCCCCATGGAATGAAAATCAGTCAAGGAGAGAAGGAATCGCATTCCATTTCATTCATATGAAGCAAACAAACATGATTTTTTCATTCCATTGTGATGTTCAATTCCATTCTCTTTTATTTACTGCATAACAAACACTACCTAAAGGAATCTAAAGGGTAGGAAAGTACCTTTTAGACCAATCCCGAAGGAATTCATTATCTTTATGGTGATCAAATTCATGAGTCATTCCAATTAGAAATGCTCTCTTTGGTTGCAATCTTTTAATGGCTTCCAGAGACTGTCAATACATGTATAAATTAACATAAAATTAGATGATAGTTGAAGTAATTCAAAGCAAGATCACAATAAAGGAACTTAATGACAAACCTGTGGGAAGCAAAAATGTGTATTATGGGATCCATTCTGCAAAATAAAAAAGAAAACTTCATGAAAAAAGAAAACGATAATTACTAATTATGAACCCAAAACCATATTAATGAAGTGGAAGACTTGGAGTATTGACCTTATAAAGTGTATCCAATATAAGAAGATCTAGTTGTTGACCTGCACTTTTAGATATACCTGCACATTCAAAAAACCTGAGAATAAACTGAAACACAAAAAGGTATGAATCTATGAAAAGGACTAGAAGAAACACTCACAAAGTTCAGTATCTTCTATAAAGCGTGAAATATCAGATATATAAGCTACTTTGCTATTTTTTCCAAACAAAAAACCTAAACAAATATAATCCTCCCCATGCATCACCTAAATAAAGGTAAACAACAGTCAAAAACCTATATAACTGTAATTATAATATATTATTAATTCAAGCAGAAAATAATAAATAGATAAATGAAAAGGTTAGAATATTAACCGGAAAGGGTGTGATTTCTAGTCCGGATGCAACAAATGGCTTCTTACTATCATTCTCAATTATTTTCCATTCAAGTTGTGCTACACGTCTAACTTCTTCACCAGCTTTGAGCTTCCTTTGTAATAAGTAAGGAAATTTCACTTTTAAGCTGTTTATTACACAAGAAAGATTGACAGATCATGCAGCCATAACATGAGTATTAAAGTGTCAAGAGATGAAACAAAACCAAGAACTTGAATACCTTTCCATTGCATGTTGATTTAGGAAAATAGGTGTAGGTTCAATGTCGTTTACTGGACTGAATGGTTGCACTGAACGGATGTCATCAAGACCAAGAACTGCATCCGCATGTTCATGAGTCAAAATAATCTGTGCATTTTATAACAATTATTTATTATTATCAACATGATGGATCCCATTTGTCTTTCAGTTAAAAGATTTGATCCAAGAAACTATATAGTCCCCCTCCCATGAATGTGTCAAGTAGAGGAAGAATATCCAATTAATATGAACTAAAAACTGTATTAGGGAGAAGAAAGTTACAGAATCAACTTGAGGGATCTTATGGAAAGTAAACCACCGGAGGACTTGCTCCCTGAATGTCTTTCCCACATCAATTAGTATGTACTTATGTTCCCCAGCACTTGGACTATAATCAATCAGAAGAGATGTATTGCACCTATAGAACATATATATAAAATCATAACTTTTATGAGCCACCATTAACATTAGGATAAGCTTAATGAATATATAGATGGCAATAATAAGCATAATCTCAGACTTAATTTGCTCAATGAAAATATAGATATTGTCCAGTCAGTGCAGGGGGTTGCTATGTTAGCACATATACCCTCTATTCAAAAGAGGAGGTAGCCAGAGAAAGTCAAAGCATAACATATATGAATTTTGATAAATATCTGCCACAAACTTTTTATATGTATTATTTGTTGTAAAGTTTTATGTGTTCATCAGAATTTCCAAAAAAAATCGTGTTTGAAGTTCACAACCAAGGTGGAAGGAGTTAATACGTTTCCTAGAGTTGAACTTATATATCTTTTCATGTGTGATCAAAAGCATTTGCTTGACGAATTTGAAACTAATAACCAATACATTTGTGTCTAAAAGTCAAAATTTAACTATAACTAGGAAGGAATGATGAATGAGAACTATTTACAAGTTTGAACATACAAGTTCCTCCAAAAAATCAGAATCTCCGGCAAGTTTGAACATACAGGTTAATCCATTATAAGCATTGATTTCTATGCTGGCAGATCTACAAAATCTAAAGGTTAAAGATCCATGACGATGCATTGGAGGGGGAAAATGCAACTATAACCCTAGAACTTAGTTTATCATCGTCGAATACCTGTAATTAGGGTTAGATTCAGGTGGAGTCGATAAGGACTGGAAGCAGACTTTACAAGGTGGATCCGATGGCTTGATCAGGCACATTGCGTTGGGGACAGCACTCGAACAACCAGTACCTACAAAGATCAATGCTGAATGAGGTTGCTCGCGATGGCCGTTCTCCAAAAAAGTCACCGCCGACGTCCATATAAGCTGCCGGAATGAAACTGGAGATACGAAATAGATTCGGAATGAGAGAAACCTTCAATC